AGTTGCTAAAGAGAGTATTATAGTTTTGTTCACATAACGGTTATTTGTAAGTCCTAAAACTAAAAGAGTCAGATATAGGGTTATATATATCAAAGTGATCAGGGTGACGAGTAGAGTTGAAATCCGGGTGTCTGTGTGTCCGTCCGTCCGGCTGTCCGTCCGTACGTGCAAGCTGTAACTTGAGTAAAAATTGAGATATCATGATGAAACTTGGTACACGTTTTTCTTCGCTCCATAAGAAGATTAAGTTCGAAGATGGGCAAAATCGGCCCACTGCCACGCCCACAAAATGGCGGAAACCGAAAACCTATAAAATGTCATAACTAAGCCGCAAATAAAGATATTAAAATGAAATTTGGCACAAAGGATCACGTTGGGGAGTGGCATATTTGGACGTAATTGTTTTGGAAAAGTGGGCGTGGCCCCGGCCCCTACTAGCTTTTTTGTACATATCTCGAAAACTACTATAGCTATGTCAACCAAACTGTATAGAGTCGTTTCTGCAATTCCATATACAGTTCAAAAATGGAAGAAATCGGATAATAACCAYGYCCACCTCCCATACAAAGGTTATGTTGAAAATCACTAAAAGTGCGTTAACCGACTAACAAAAAACGTCAGAAACACTAAATTTTACGGAAGAAATGTCAGAAAGAAGATGCATCCAGGCTTTTTTTAAAAATTGAAAATGGGCGTGGCGTCGCCCACTTATGGACCAAAATGAAATTCGGTATATAATATTTTCTTAACACCCTGATGACATGTACCAAATATGGATGAAATCCATCCGAGAGTATAAAATGTTCGGTGACACCCGAACTTAGCCCTTCCTTACTTGTTTGTATTTCTTTTATGCTCTCTCGTATGAAACTCCAAATCATATTCTCGTTGTAGTACCCTTGATATCGACGTTCAAAGTCCATCACATCTTGATGAAAACGTTCTCCTTGCTCCTCGGAGTAGACTCCTATGCTGTCTGCCATCTTTGTTTTATGAAATAAATTAAAATATACTTATCGATGTAGATCTGCCCAAAGCAAACTTAAAGAACTAAAAATTAATATTTAAGTGTTTTTCAATGTCTAGAATTAGAATTCAAGTATGAGAACAGAAACCCCAAAAAAAAAATTTTTTTTGTTGACCGGTGTAGTTTAATTTACTCATAAAAGAATAAAATATTTAAATATTGCATTGTGAAAAGAATTATGAGACATACCGTATGTTCCTTAATCCTGTTAGAGAGCGAATACACTTCTTCAAAATTAATTTCCCACAGATGCCCCTCGCTACCACAGTCCAAATTACAGTTCCGTATCTTATTTTATTTTATAAACGGTTTTTCTATAGGGCAATACAAAATTAGGCCGACAACGACGGCAAACGACGAAATGTTTTTCCGGCTCTCTTAACATTTCTCTTCAGTAAGATTTGCCATTTTGTTATGGAAAGACGAGTCGAATTTATTAAAATTAACTACCTCAATTCGGACTCAGTGACCTCAATATACATCTTGAATATTTATAGGTGATACATAGTAAGGTTACGGTCAACAAAACTATTATACAATGCCGCAACATGTAAAAATATTATTTGTTTTATTTTAATTTTTGAAAATACGGAAGTTTTTATATTGAAATGCAGAGAATTAAAAAAAATTAATGTTTCGCTGTTTTGGTGTGATAAAAAAACCTTAAAAATATTTAGAAAAAAAAATATTAAAATGCTATTGTTTTTGCGTTGCGAAAATATAAAAATCAGTTATGTTGTCCGCTGGTTGTTAAAGAAACTTTTTTGACTGAAATGAGTAAAGATCAGACTTTAATTGTAAATAATATTTATGGATGTTGAAACTTGAAAGAGGCTTTTCAAATATAGGATCATGTTTTTCTTGTCATAAAATCCCTAAACCTTTTGGACCGAAAACTTGAAAGTCACTCCATTTTCGAATGAAATCAAAGTATACAGCACAATAAGCATAAGAATAGGGATTAAACACCCAGAGATATGAGAATGTTTATAAGTATATATAGACTAAATGCCATAACGTAAGAAAAACAAAATTTTGCAAATTTGTTATTAGCCTTTAACCTCCAAATATACTTTTTAATTAGCAATTAAACACTTTTCCCATGCCATTCTCTTGCAAAGCCGCTAACAATGAGTTACTCCAGTAAAAGAATGCCCTGCATGACACACCCATTGTACAGAAATCACGTACTCAATGGGGCCGACAGGTATTTCGCAATTTTTGGCAAAAACGGAAAAAAGTCAGTTGGCATGAAGTGACGTAATATTGGTCGATGCTAGAATACAGTTAGGCGAGAATTAACGATGATGCGATGACGCAGCGCTTCACTCAATCTCCAGTCACTCAGTCACGCAGTGCATTGACCCAACGCGCTCACATACATACGTACATACACATTTACAAGTACATTCACTAGCCACGCATTTACATATTAAGGAGGCGTTAGCAACTAACTACATGTGCCGTTATAGCAAAATCTGTCGATATACATGCATATATGTACATATATGTGTGCATGTATGTATCTGCTGAGCTAAAGTAACTTGAAAGGTGCTACTAATTTGATTTTTGGAAACTTTTGGAATGTATGCGCATATACATATGTAAGTATTTCCAAGTATGTGTATATATATGTATGTATGTAAGAGCACGTGTTTTCAAAACAGTTAAGTGATCTAATGACTAAAGTCGTTCTTATTTGTTTCTAAATGTTTGCCAATTTGGTGTCATTCTCGTTTTGGAAATTAATATGGTTTATCGTGCATTTAAACCTTTATTTACGTATTGCTAACATAATAGGGGTATTCGTTTGCTCTTGCAAAACTCTTGCACGGTGCACGAATTGCATATATTTCCTCTTGGTGCACCGGCACAACAATAAACACACGCAGAAAATTATTTGCAATGGCTGTAAAGTATGTCAGACCAAAACCCATGTATATTTGCGTGCAATGTCACGCCAAAATGTAATTGCAACCCTGTTTTAGCTGTCATTTTACATAAAGACACATTTCGTCGTTAAATTGTTGAGGAAGGTAAGTTTTAAATAGATTTTAAAATTTCTACTTAAATTATAAAGATTTGTTACAGTTTTTTTTTTTTTTGTTAAAAATGTATGCTGAAGGTGCGCCAATTCACAATAGTCATGCATAATTGTCATTCGCAATAAATTGATCGAATCAGCCATTCATATATCACTAGATTCTGCGATGCGTGCTCTCGTGCCCTTGTATATTTCGTAATAGAATTTTTGCAATCTCCAATCTTGTAAAAGCAAGCGAATACCCGTAATATATACATATACATATATATATGCATTTAAATTGTAAATGGGAAAATCTCTCGTGAATCCGTTGGAATGATTTTGGTCGATATTTTGGGTATGAAACGCGTCGGCTCGTCCCGATAAAGCTGCATTTTTTCTAAAAATATTATCATAAAGAGGTCTCTTTGAACATGCTTGTTGGGCATGCTCAAGTCAACAGTCATTGAAATGGAGGAGAAAAAAACGAGCCGAAACCAAAAGAACACGCTAAAACCGCTCAAAAATTAAGGCGATGCTCAAAAAGGGGGGAATTGTGAAATAATCCCAAATCCATCCCAAAAAGAGCGTATGAAAAGTGTTTCGAGGACTGGAAAACCGTTGGCATAAGTTTATTACATATTTATTATTACATCTTGCCTCAACCATCAGCTCAGGAATCCCTTAACCAATACTGTTTTTGGTCGATAACGTATAATTTTTTCTTGAAAAAATAGCAAAAAAGAAAGAATTTCGGCATAACCTCAAATTTCTGCTTAGATTATAATATTCATTGCAATATATATTTTGATAAAATTTAGCTACGGTCGAGGAACTCAATTTATATTAGAAAAAAATTAAAAACTTTTCCTTTCTTCCGCCTTATTCTTCACTATAGATTATATTTTCGCCTTTTTATTGGTTCTAACCACAAAATTATCAGTATAAGCAAGTGAAATTAACTATTCACCAAATTCAACATCTCTTCACAAATTTCATAGCGGTGATCCACGCTTAAATATTCGAAAATATCTTAATTGAAAATCCAAATAACTTATTTGGGTCATCCGTGGTTTTGCATTCCATGCAAAATCATTTCGAATGTTGTTCAATGACTCATTTTGTTTACACTGAAGTTACACTTGGGACACAAACGAAGCGATCGATGCAATGAAAGTGAAAATCATATAAAGCAACAAAAACTAAATGAAACCGAAAACGGAATGTTGGAAATGACAGAGTCTCGAATTTCGCAGAAAACCCCAACRTCATTTTGACAGATTAAAGATTACAGGAAGCAGCATTCAATTAGTGAGCAGGTGCTCTTTTGTGCGATCGGTGAGAAAGGTGTAATGAATAGAAACTTTTTTGGTAAATTTAATAGTGGGGGAGGAAATAAAAAATGTATAAACAAAATATTTTGGCATATATACATATACATGTGCACTTCTAGATATTTATAGTACACGGAAATCATTGTATTTCGGAAGAATGTTATCCATTCCCAATTATTTTTCAAAGATAGTGAAAGTCTGTAATTTAATGATGCATTGTGCCGTTACCCTAATGCGTACCAAACGTTAGATATTTAAGAAAAATTTTCAAAACATACAGTGATACATTAATTGAAATCACTTTGCCTTGTATAAGAAATTAGAAAAAAAGCATTTTGAAATGTTTGCAAAACGGAAGAATTTTAAGAAAATATCTAAGAAAGTACTTGAAGAGGCTTTAGTTTTAGTATATTGGCGCAGAGTTGGCAGAGCTTTATCTCAAGAGCACTTATAAATAGGTGGAAAAAGAGGAATTGAAAGCTCGTTGAAAAACTATAAATATAAAAAAGTGATTTTTTGTTCTATAAAATTTGAGTACAAATAAGTACTTTATAAAGCAGTATTTTATGAAATGATAAAATATGGTATTTTTAATAGTAAAAGCAATAATTCTTACACTTGTTGCTTTGAAGGAATCATAACATTTTCAAATATCCTTTTTATCCTTGTTAGTTGTTTTTGTTATAATTTTTGTGGCTTTTTACTGCCACGCAAATGCTTTGCTGCTGTTCTTATTCAATTATTTGTTACTCCAGCAATTGTATGTGTTTGTATGTATGTGTCCTTGGCGTGCAGGCAACACTTTAGATATTGTTTAATTTTTTGGTTTGCAGGAAATTTTCATGATTTGCCAATTTTTCCGTGGAAATAGTTTCAATTATGTTTTTTGCGCGAAAAACAGGAAAAGAAATACAAAAAGTGAGTGTAGTAGAGAAGATAAAGGTAAAGGGGGGTCAGGAGAAGCACAAAATAAAATGAGAAAAAAAAAAATTTTTTTTTTAAAGGTAAATGAGGATAGCTGAATAAATGAGGTCATGCATGCAAATGGTTTATTGTAAGAAGACGAAAAGGTAAGTGGAAAGAATAAAAGAAGAAATTTGTGTTAAATTTATTTTAAAATAAAAAATTATAAAAAACTTAAACAAATAATAAAATAAATTCCGTGTATGAAACTTCGGATAAAGTGAGTATCTTTTCTAATGAAATGTCATTTCTAATCAAATTTCAACTACTAAAATAATAAATAAAAGTTCTTTCAGGGCAATCTAAATGAGTAAAGAAAAATTTCATGAAGGACAGAATTTGAATTTCAATGTTTTTAATGAAAACGGTATTATAAATATCATGATAAATAAAATCAATAACAAAACTAATTAAATTAAATGATAAGTATTTACTCAAAACTGCTAAAATTTTAAAATAAATTTAAATACCTGCTTTATGTTTAATATAWAAATATTTTCTAATTTATTTGTATTTTATTTGTGTAAAAAATTAAATAGTTTTCAATACTTTTTAACTTTTTACTTTTAAAGTAAATAATTCAAATATTTACACTTTGGTTTATAATTTTGGAATTTTTTTAATCATATGAGTTGTGTAAAAGAAATTTTAAACTTAAAATTTTCCAAAAATAATAATAATTAAACAAATAAAAAGTATAAAAACGGGGTAAATAACTCCTTAATTTATGAATTCAATTAAATTAATTGAATTAAAAAAATTAAATGACAATTTTTTCTTAAATTTTTTAATTTTTTCAACATAAATCTAGGACTTTTTTTATATAATAAACAATTAATTTAGTTTTTTTTAGTAAAAAGTAAATTTTAAACAATTATATTAATTAATTAATTTACATTAATTAAATTGATTAATTTACATTAATTAAATTGATTAATTCGTTATAAATTAATTTAAATTAATTGTTTTATATATTTCATAAAATTAGTTAGTTTTAATGTATGTATGAATAACGGGAAATTCAATATTTATTTGATTACTATTTTCTTTTAATTACTTCAATTCATTAATTCATTTAAATTAAATTAAATTCGTTTAACTTCAACCAGATAAAAATGCAGAGTAAATTAGGTAAGTAAAGAAAAAATATTTACTTTTAATAAAAATCGATACTCACAAATAATATATGTATGTTTTGTGTATGTGTAGAAAATATACTTGTTAAAAATATAAATACAGCGACAGCAATCATAAAAAAAACAAGAGTAGCACACACGCAAAACGATGAAATTTTCATAAACGCCCAAAACTAGCTTTTAAAATGTTTTTTGTTTTGTTTTAATATTTTTACTACTTTCATTAAGAATTATTAAATAGTTATATTAGGTTTTGTTCTGTAATATTTTTGGGTTTTGTTAGTAGGTGCGAAGTAGTGTACTAGTGTGTATGTATGTTTGTTACTGTGAGTAGTAAAATAGGAAATGGAAGTCAAAATATTTACAATTCAAAATAAATGACAGCAATTAACGTTTCATAGCTGTATTGCTATTATGGTTGGACTGGTTGCTTGCAGGCAGTTGGTTGGAGAGCTGGGGTGTAGAGTTTTGGTACGGTTGGATACTTTTGTTTTGTGTTTATATTATTATTATCGCCAACACCCAGGATTTGCCAAAAAAGTTGTCGCCGAGATTTTTCGCTTGATTTCAATTTTATTTGGATTGTTTTTTTTCCGAATTTTTGATGTATGAAAATATTTACAACAGTTTCTATGACAGATACTGTGCTGATTATGATTCAATTTAATTTAATTGCAAATTTTGAAAATGAAAATATTGTTTTGTTGCTGTTTTATTTAAAATTTTGTTGTATATATTTTTTGTACAATTTTTTATAAAATTTTTTTAAGTAATTTTTTTATAAATATTAAAAAAAAAAATTTTTCGCCAATTTCGTATTTTTTTTTATTTCACTCGTTTTGCGTTTGATTTTTTGGCTTTCGTTTTTTAAGTTTTTAAACTTTTTTCAAAATTGTATTTCCTGCTTTGCTCTGGTGTTGCTTTATTTTCACTTCTTTCTTCACACGCCGAATATCGCGTTTTACACTGAATTTTGTGTTTTTACTGGTATTTTATTTAAAAGTAATTTTTTATATGGAAACAATTTCTGAAATTGCACTTTATTTGCATTTTCATTTTTTTTTAATTGTTGCGCTATCTCGAAAACACATTAACGGCTTCAAGAAATATGTTTTAGTGCACTCATAGAATTTTTATAACACTTGCAATAGGTGAGTGTGCACTTTTAATGTCGAAAATTATTTCTCTTTTATTTTCGAAAATTTTTACACATCCTTCTGTCACAAAATATATAAGTATATTGGGTTTCTGTTTTATTTCACTTACAAATTAGGCACATTCATTTTTGCTTGCTTTAAAAATATTGTATAGGCTATATAAACAGGGTTTCATTCCGAAAATGATTCAATTATTTTAAAATTTTAAATTGATCGATTATTCAATCTATTTTCCAATTTTTTTTTCGTTTTAAAACAATTTTTTCAAGTCAAAGTTGTTTGCAATTTTTTTTATATTTTTTAACACTAATGCACATAATCTTGCAATTTTTTATTTAATTATCCAAAACTGCTTCAAATATTATTGACGTGCGTACATGTGTCTGTACCTTTAAAAAAATCACATTACTGGCCGATTTAAAATTCTTGCATTTAATTTAAGTTTTCTCACTTTTTTAATTATTTTATTACAACATTTGCGAAAAACGTTCTGGTTTCATATTTTGTCTCACATTTTTTCCTTTTTTTCGAGTTTCAGTAATTGCAAAATTTTTCAAATTCTTCGTTTTTCAAATGCGTCACTTTTCAATATTTTATTTTGTGCAATAATAATTTTATATTGCGCTATAATCATCACTTTTTAATTTTTCGCATTTTTTGTCTTCAATATTAATATTTATTTCTACTTGGGAAATAATATTTTTTGTCGGCGTGTAATCCAATCAGTGTACATATGTATGTATGGTCTCTACGCACAGTACGCCCGTAAGCAGAGCAGAGAAATTTCCACAAATCCGAATACGTCAACGGTAGAAAGCCGACTGTGCGCAGGCGCACCAAAAGAAATGCGCACAACGGTACCGCCACAAGAGCAACGAGCGGTGACAGCGGCACTAGTTAATGCCAAAAACAGCAACAACAATAGTGCACGAAGAGCAACAGCAGCACGAGCGGCAGAAGCTGATGTAGAAGTAGAAGCGACAAAGAATGGTATGACGATGACGACGATGAGGATGGGAGCGCGCACTCGTACAAGCAAGCGCGCTCTTCTTGTTGCTATTGTTGTCAGCTATTTATATTTCGTTGGTCTGCACCAACATTACTGATCATACAAAAATTCCATGAAGACACCAGCCCAAGCCGTTACTAAAGTGACAAGGCAACAAACGTTCGGCTAACGTTTCAGCCAACGAACATCATTTGCACGAATGCACAGCATGGGTTAGCCAACACGCCGTTCAGAGTTTTTCGTCCGGCTTGCCATTAGTTGGTCGCAATAATCACGTATTGGTTGTTGTTAGCGTCAGCAGCGGAGCGTGGTTCTGCAAATGTTGCGCCAACCCAGCTGAGCGCGCTATACAACATGCTCGAAGCGCGCTCAACGCACAACATAACTGTATTTGTGTCGACATATGTTTGTGTGCGCGTATGTGTGACCGCTGAACTGTTTGTTATTGTTACCTTCAATGCGTTCAAAGTCATGGCTAACGAGTTGGCCGGCTGTGCGCCGACCGACAGGTGAGAGCGCTGCAGCGTATGAGAGTCACAAGGAGAAGTTTATGAGCGGTGAGCACTTGCATTCATTCATTTCTTGGTTTTGCGCTCAGCATTAAACTATGTATATATGTGTTGCCAAGTACTTCATTCGTGTTAGCAACATGTTGCTTGGAATAATTCTACACTCAAATATCAATGGTAATTTCTCATGCTGGTAACCTTAAAATTTATTAACTATAATTTGAATTTGAAATTTATGTTTCAAATTTTTGACGTAGTACTTAGCAACTTACTTCGTGTCTGTGTACGTGAGGTGCAACAGCTACAAACGTATCAACTTCAAGAAGTGTGTGCAATGTGGTTTGTTTCTTAAGTCTTTTGTGTTGCTCGTAATACAAATGTTTAAACGGGGCGCAACAATTGCAGCAAATTATGAGTCTGTGTTAAAATCAGAACGGTTTGAAACATGTTTTAAAATCTTCATCTGATAATTGCCGTTACGAATAACCAAATACATAGAATCTTATATCGTTGTCATTATGAAGGACAACTGAGTCCTTTTATCCATACTTTTATGTACTTACATACATATATTTGAACTCAAAAATTTGATCACTTTTGAAGATATCTGCTTTAAGTGTATTAAATAAGCGATAATCACGACTGACAAAAAACTACTTTTTTCCTTTATCTATTACAAATGTTTAATATCGCCTTTAAAATGGGCTTCTTGTGAAATTTGGCATAAGCATGCCAAACCTTAATTCAATATTCTTTACGCTTGTAGTGGTTTCAGCGCATTTTGGTTTTTCTGACAAAAAAACACCATATTTCGAAGGTTTAAATATCGGATAATAATTTTTGAATTACTTTATTCATTATTTTAATGATTACAGTCATTTGAGACTCTCTCAACTTGTTTTATCAATGTTAGTTAAGACATTTTTAATTTTGAATCGCAAAGCTATCTTCCCTAAAAATATTTGCAGTGATTAAGAATCTACCTTTTATCGGAAATTGAACTTCTTCAGCGCCCTATTTCAACAATGCGCATTTTTATTACTTTAATTTAATTTTATGCATTTTTTTTTAAATTTTAATGAGCAACCAATTAAAAAAAATATGATAAAAATATTATTACTTTTTATCGAACGTTAAAAAAGTCACCAACAAATTTATGAAATAAAAAAACTATATAACAATATTATTAAATATTATTTCAACTAAAATATATATTATTTTRATAGAACAAATTAATTTACTTAMTAATATTTTAATGCTTGTCATAATATTCCTCAGTCACTCTCTCATATTGCGCACATAACCCAAATTCAACAAAAGCTGTTTTGCATTGCTAAAAATAACCGAAAATAGTATTTAGGCAAACAGGGTAAAAATGTCTGTGAGGCCTACTCAGTTAAGCCGCACAATGGGTGCGCAATATTAAGCACACATTCATAATACATATGTACATATGTACTTATACATCTACATATCGTCAACTGAAATGCAAAATAACGTATCATCAAAAAATTCGAAATTAAGTGTCTTATTGATTAAGCTTCACTACTTCAAACTACATACTTAAAATTACATATGTTCAACATTTTTTGGTTCTGCGGTCAGATATAAACCAGTTTTAACCAATATTAAAATTTAGTTTCACTATGTTAGATTTTATTTCTTGTTTCAGTCATGCCACTGAAAATTTCGTAAAAGGTTATTACGTTATTTTGTATTTCAGGTGACGATATATTTCATACACACATCTAGAACTGACAAGTCTACATATAGACAGTATGTGTCGAGATATGTAACAAAAATTTCAGGCACTAGACGCGCATTTCTTTCAGCGAATTTATGCGTGCGTTTATTATAAAAATATTGCCAACCCAACACAAATACATACAAATGTGTTGTAAACTTGAATATAAAGCGACGTTTCGCTCTTCTACTTTACGACTTTACGGCACGCTCACAAATCATTTCAGTATACGCTCGCCGCATTTACTCTACTCCGTGCATGCTCAGCGTCATAATCGGCTAGCCAGCCAACCCACCAGCCACCGCTCGTTTGCAACTTGACCTAGAAACACTTTTTCCAGTTATTTCGCCTTGTAAACAAAATAAATTTACAGTTTATGTTGATGCAGCAAAACTTTTCATGATATTATGTTGCATGCATGTAGCTAAACATGTTGCTTGGAGGCCGCAAACGTTGCTTGTAGTCTGCTCTTAGATCAATGAATTGTAAGTATTTGTAGCCAACTGCCAAAAATTGTACTAGCAAGTTAAAGAGAGAAAAATAGTTCTAATCTAAAATTAAGTGAACTTTAAAAACTCCCTGATTCTGGTACTGAAATGATGATAAAGCGGATATTACGGCCAATTGAGAAATCAAACAAAACACAATAACTTAAGGAAGTGAATTTCAAGCGACTTCAATAAAGAATTTTTTACTGTAGGACAAAAACTTCAATGCTAATATATTGCTTATTTCTACTAAGTGTGTTTTGATTTCAATCAGGAAATTGCTATATGAAATTACGAGCACACGGCGCTTCACAAAATAGTATTTAATCCAGTCATCGTTAGTTCTTACCAAATTACTTAGGCGATTGTAAGTGTTGTGTGTTAATTATATACTTATGAACATTTTTTAACTACTTTTTCCCTCGCACTTCCATATCCCATTTCAAACCTCTAAATCGCCACATAAGGCATTGAAATATGTAAATCTAATGATCAGTAATATAAGAAAATTGCCCAAAGGGTTATTAATAAGAAATTGGTTTGGCTTTAGCGCCACCTATCGGTTACAAATCCTATTCTTGTTGATCTTAACCTTTATTCAATTCTGTTAGACGAAATAGGACAGATTTCACATATTATATTATATATTTTAAAGTCCTAACAAATGCTCTGTTCCTATTAGATTGGATTGCTGTGATTACTGAGGTTAGAGATGTTTTCCGGGATTAAACAATGAGGGACAAGGTTTTCCGACACTCCAAAATTCCATTTCCAAAAATTCTGAAAATTCCGCATAAATTTATAGATTTCTTTAATTATTTTTGAAGAAGTTTTGCCAAAAATATGGCCCAAGACAATCGGTGGTATGAAGTTGGAATGGGGTATTGTTGTTGTTTTAGCAGTTATCTAATCACCGCTTTGGTGGAAAGGTTAAAGTAAGTTGACATTGAAGTTTTTTAACAGCAGGCTCTACGGGAGTCGCTAGATGTGTCGGATTCATTGGACATGCAAAGAGGTGGTTAAAGGCGTGCGGGGACTCATTCCAGGCAAGAAAAATATTTAGTATGACGTGGTCGATACTATAATATTCAGGACGAAGTTGTTCAGCTGGAACCTTCGTCTGCTGTGGGTGACAGTTTAACTGCAAGTGCACCATTCACGGTTTGGAGTTGGTGCATAAGTTTATACCGCTGAATGGCGGTCAGTGCGAAGCTGAAGTTTGTTGCGTCCGTCAATGTGGTCGACGTAATCAAGAATTTACTAATGGTGAATGACTCCTCTTCAAGCAGGTGGCTGCGAATGTGATTTCTATGAAAATGAGCAGACCTCACTATGTAGGTGGAATTCACACCATCCAGTTGAGCATATCGGGGTGCCATTGATGATTACCGGCCGCCCTATTGCTCTGAATGTTGCCAACAAGGATTCTTTGTTCCTTCCGCAGATACTTCAGGCTAGCCACTTGAGGATTTTGTTATATTTATGTACTTTGGCAATAATCGC